ATACGATCTAATCTATTTTTGGTACTATTTGTTTGTACAATGATCAAAAAATTAATACATTAAATAAATACATTAACATCGACTTACCTAACTTAACGGAGCAATGTATATGTCCCCTGCTCTCGTAATGTACCCAGTCGAATCCAGCTTCTACAGCTAACCTGCAGATGTAAGGCTAATTAGTAACCATCAACAATGTTGTCCTTACAAGCGGAATTACCATTCGATGCTGATAAAGACGATGGACAAGAATTCAAGCAAACAGTTGTATTCGCTCGCCGAAAGTTATATTTGGTACCCGTAAAACTGATTTTTGATGAATGATATCGATACACTGGGTATCAAAATCAAGGCCCTATCACCTTGAAAGTTTCTCCTAACTACTTTCGTCAAATACGAGCCCCTTCCAACTTCAGTTGGCCCAACTATTGAAATCTTAGTTTTTTTCTTAACGAACAATAAAAATGTAGCAGGGTGTTATAGGTTTAAAATATTAACAATGAATATTTTGATAATATATAGTAGAAAACACCAACTTTATCACTCCCTAAGCAAATTTGCAGCATAAAAATAACATATGTTGCAATTACAGCATATCAATCTATTTTCATTTCAATGCAAAATAAGTCTATAACGCATAGGTGGCTGTGAAAAATAAAAGCCATGACAATTGTTTTTATTAATCACAGCTGTCAGAATACGTTTAAAATAGTTTTGGGTTGTTAAGGTTTTCAAAATGGTAGAGGAAAGGTTATTAGTGAGAAAATTCGGTTACTGATAATTAAATTTTTTAATTCTGGGACATCAGATTCAGAAATTGCAACTTTGTTAGACTTATCGCGGTACAGTGGGAGAAATATTGTTAGAAGATATAACGTAACTGGTTCAGTTAATATTAAGCCACGATATGTGAAAAAAAGTAATATCACAAATGCCGACCGAAGAGCATTAAGAAGAATCATCGTGAAAAACAGGCGTGCCAATTATTTACAATTAAGTGCTCTGTGGAGTGACGCTGTTGGAAGGAGAATTTCGAGGTCTACAACTCATAGAGAGGCCCACAAACTGGGATTTAGCACTTTGCAAGGTAAGTTTTCTTATTAAAAAAAGTGAAGTAAAAACACTAAAGTTGCACAACTTGTTTATAGGCCAAAGAAAAGCCACTATTAACTCCACTGCAAAAGAAAAACTGGCTTAGATGGGCCCCAACAATAGTGTGCAATACAATGGAGTAATGAGGTCCGATTCGAAGTTTGTGTTGGTGACAATCGCAGTAGAGTTATTCGCAAAAAAAAATTAAGCATTCCATGTTGACTGTCTGAAGAGAAAAGTGAAATTTCCAGCATCCATTATGGTCTGGGGCAGAATGTCATCAAAAGGAGTAGGAAAACTTCATTTTATTGATGGAAATGTGGATACAATCAAATATTTGGCAATTTTAGAAGAATCGCTTTTACCAGTGATGGAAGAATGTTTGACATCCGGCCAAGATTTTGTGTTCCAGCAAGATGGTGCAGGCTATAAAATGGATGGAAGAAAATAATGTACCACTTTTGAAATGGGTTTCTAGCAGTCCAGATCTGTCACCTATTGAAACTTTGTGGCACGAGAAGAAAAAGGTTCTACGACAACATCCTGCTCGTACAATCACCGAACTGAGACAAAAGCTTCAAGAAATATACGATTGTTTTACATTTTACACCAAATGTTTGCCAAAACTTGGTTAACACTATGCCCCAAAGAATTTCAGCCGTAATAAAAAATAAAGGTGACGTTACCCAATGGTAATATTTCAATTGTTGCTTTGTTAACTTTGCGCATTTATTCACACATTGTTTATTTGTTCAGATGTTCTATTAGTTATAGGTCTAAGTGATTTCAAATATGTATTTTTTACGACTAGACTGTATCTAAAATGTTTTTGAGAAAATAAATTGTTTTAGAAGTAAATAGTTTCGTGATGTTTAGTTTATAAAGGCATATTTTGGTACAAATCTTGAAGTGGGCCAACTGAAGTGGGAAGGGGCTCGTACTTCATAATTGTATTTAAAAAACCATTACCAGAATTGCAGGTAACCATATACGTTCCTTACTTGGAAAATATGCTGCTGTCTATGGGGTGATTCATAACCAGGCGACAATGCAGACATTTTTTAAATGGAACACCATGTATGTCCCTTTTATTATGTTCAAATTTAAACTAAGAAGCTGATGATGAAATTGGCGCACGGATAAAACATTTTGGCGTGAAATGGCAGTAGGAAATTTTAGGATGGTGGTGGACGTTTTTTTAAAGGCACATTTCGTTTTAAAGTTCCTTATGCTTACTTCATATCCCTAGAATATAAATCCATCTTTAAAAATGGAAAACTGACATACTGTAAAATCTAAGCTTATATCCCAACAAGTAATCATCTGACTCTCACTGTATGTTATATCAATATTCTTGTTTTCTAAGGATCTATCCAAACATGTAATAAGATTTGTAGCTTTACATTCAACAACGTTGTTAAAAAATGAATTTGATTAAACGGAGTGCCCCATATTTTAACTCGCGCTGAGATGGAGTCTTCCAAAAGTAGTATGTTGATATACTATAGCGTTTTGATCGTTTTCTGTTGGGTTATAAGGGATTAAATGTACAAAAATGCTTAGCTTTGAGAGTCTGCCAGTTCGACATTTTTACAGATAGTGAATTTATTCTGGGGTTGTAATATAAACATACGAAGCCTAACTTCTCATTGCGTTTTAAAAAATGTTTCAAGTTAGTGGTATTTACTCCAGAATGTGCATCATCTTCGATGCTACTCAACCGGTAAAAAACAAAAAGTTTTCATTGCAGAAGAAATAAAATCATCTAAATCAATAATTTCTAGTGTATCACAGGGATCTATTTTTGGGGCCACACTTCTTCACTCTCTACACGAAAACTTAATGGAGCATGTTAAATAATGGCATACGCTGACGTTTCCCAAACATACTTATCGCTTGACCCACATAATTATGAATCTGCTACTTTGAAAATAAATACTGATTTAGATGCAATATATAATTATACACATAGCAATACTCTCAAACTACATGCAGACAAAAAGCGATTTTATTAGGCCCACAAAAATACCAATGATTTTCTGAAATCAAACATGCGATTATATATTAACAATACCCAGTTAAGATTCACCGAATGTGTGAAGAATCTTTGTGTATTTTTTGATGAACGTGAGATTTCGAGAACATCATTTACATAGCTAGAAATTGTTTTTCAGAATTAATGCGTTTCTGCGAACAAAGATTTTAATGAAAAAGTTTATCAAAAATTCTATGTGAAAGCTTAGGAATTTAGAAAATTCCTGATTGTTTATCATTATACTATCCTTGTCAGATCAAACCACTGCCAAACGCTTACATAAATCCCAAATTATTGTTGTCGCCTTGTGAATAATTAAACCACATATGCTCATACCTCAGGACACATTACTAATATGCGGTGGTTAAACGTTAATAATTTGTTTGTATAATAAAATTAAGTGAAATACCTTTATATTTATACAAAAAGCTCATAAGTCGGAAAGATATAATTCAATCTACTAGTATCATACGGTCTCCGTATTTGTTCATCACGCCCCAACATAAAATAGGGTTATATACTAGGTCTTTCACAATTAATAAAGTATCCTTAATTCTTTGTCAAATCAATTTAAAGGCATGTCGCTAAATAAATTTTGATGTAATTTAAAACATATCCTTCTGCACATATAATCGTATGACTATTTCTTTTTTCTCAATGATTTTATTATTATTTTAGTAGCTTTTTACTAATCTAAATTCGAAGTAACTATCACTATTTGAGGGTTAAGTGGAAAAATAAACGTGGCTAAACTTCGCCCATTTATAACTTATTTTTAGTTATTAATAGGTACGTTTATTATTATTATTATTATTATTATTATTAACTTCATCATTCAGAATTTCAGCTTGGTTACTTGACTAGATAAAAAGATAAGTAGAAGGGGCCTTTCTGAAAAACATTGTATATTTTAACGTTTTGAATTTTCCTTTCCCTAAACTTTCTATATTATCAGAAAATTAATATTACATCATGATGACATCCGGTAATCATGTACCATGGAAGCGTTCCAATGTCACTTAGAGCGCAACCATAGTAGCAAACGTTTTTATTACTTTTCGTTTTTCACTGTCGATGGGTCCTTGAGAAGTATTAACTTTGTGTGCCAGACTATGTGCAATAAAACATACTTATGGGTTGTGGGAGAACTGTATTGAAATCTTGGTTGCCCAGCGTCACTAAAAAACATTTAGCGGGGTTTAAACTTTGGAGTTCTGGTCCACTGAATAGATTTTTTGAGATTTTTAGTGAATTGCATTTAAAACGCTGTATATTAACAAGTTTACTTATTAGTTTAGTGCGTTTTTGATTATAATTTGTTTTTAATTTTTAAAAATGTATGGATATATGCGGTTATTTAGGTTAATAATAGATCTTATTACGAACAAAGAAATCCATGTCAACTTATGTATCTTTCTTACTGTTCTAATCCATTTCTTATAATATTGATCTTTTTAATTCATTTTAAATTCATTGTGTGATTTAGATGGAACTGTGTGAATCATCGGTAGGAATTAAGGAACTTAAGTTGTTTTGGTTATATCCAACTGAATTACCCGAGAGGCAGCCCCATCTAATTTTAACCGAGTACTTCGAATTTGTAGCTATAAAAATCAATCCGATGTAAAACTCAACTAAGTCACTTAATTAATGCAAGATAAGTTAAATATATACAAACTAAAATATATGACTTTGACACCCTGTATCGCATTAACGACGCCGTAAAGTACATACGCTTAAAATCATTTTGTTCAGTTTAATCGGGTGCATAAGCTGGTCTATTATAAATCTGACCAATCGTATACACAGAGAAGTGAAAGTAACATGGACCCCCTTTAATATACAGTATTTTAATCGCATTCTATTAAACATCTCAAAATCCGTCCAGTGGATCTGGATTCCAAGGTCTTCATGTTTTCACGTCTGAAGTACTTTAACTAGTTGGTGTCCTGGGGGAGGGATATGTTCTCTCTTGTGACACTAGGATTTTATTTTTTGATTCGTGCCATCGTTTGCCACTGTGCTTTCCTTAAGCCATATGATTTTAAGACGGCTGTGAGGAAATTCTGGTCAATAACGAGAAAAAGAGTAAGTATCGTCCTACTTTGTCATCTGAAGTTTTGTCGAACAATGAAAAAATCTCTCGCCATCCATTGTCGCATGGTCTTAGCCGCGCTACATTTTGTCGAATGAAAAATGTCGATTGCGAGATTCAAGAAGGCTTTTTATGACTTTCGTGTGACATTTTATCTATATCGTTCGACATGATTGACCATTCAATTCAATATTCGTGAACACCCGCCGGACTTTTCGGTTTTATGCTCTAATCCTATAATATATTTACCTAGCAAGCATCCATACTTCGCTCTATCCCTATCCGATGTAGTTACGTCGACTGCCCGGCCTTCGTAGTGTAATGAATCTGGAGGATGGTATCCTTCTTCATCCCAGCCTTCCGTAACCACCAATCGCACGCCTGGCCACTGGTTCATAACTGATATTGCTAACGTGTTCAGTTTTTCGTTGCAGCGCTAGAAAAGAAAAGCAAAAATGTGTACATCGACAAGAAAACTAATCTGGAAAGTGAAATGGATGACTAAGGAAATAGTTATTTTGTTGCAAGCGTGGTATACAAAGTGTCAATGAAATACCTAAACTTCAAAAAGTGACTTTATGAAGAGAAGTTTGAAAAATATAGGTCCAATAATACCACGTTTCTGAGATACCTACAGAAAGTCAAGTTTCTTGAATGAAATCCGGTGGTTTTTTAGATGACAATGGCAATCTGTGGTTAAAATCTAGGCGTGTTTCTTTAACGACTCCAGTCAAATCGAGATTACGTCCGTACATGCTTTATTCAACAAATTTTAACTGTATTGTCTGAAGACTGCAATTTTTTATTCGGAAGAACGTATTCGTTCTAAAGTAATAATCGCCATTACCTTCAGCTAAGTATGTTAAAAATTGTTGCATGTACAGAGGTACCGCAGGAAATTTAATTAAACTAAATAAAGAAAAACGCTCTATCAAACCCACACGTGGTTATGGTTATCTAGATTACTGGATTTATAATTTTACTTCCTACACCACTGGGCGAAAAGGTATTGTAGTCGCGTAATATTTCGAAAATGAAGTTTTGTGTTTTTTTGATGTTATGTGACATGTACATCATAAAAAAACATGTTCCTCTTTTACGTCGGTCTGTCTGTCTACCAGTCGATCTGTCTGTCAATCTGGCTGTCGGCCTGTCTGTAGGTCTGTCTGTCTGTCTGTCGGTCTGTCGGTCTGTCGGTCTTTCTGTAGGTATATCTGACGATCTGTCTGTCGGTCCGTTTATCTGTCTGTCCATTAACCCTTGGCCCGTCTATAACTTGAGAAGTACCGCTCGGATTTGGATGAAATTTTCACACAGGGTTGCTATTAAGCGAAAGTCGAAAAAGCGGCAGAGAAAAAAAACGAAAAAATCTAAAATTGCCTAAACTTCGTCCTTTGACGTTTGAATTTTTGATGATTTATGCACTCCCGGCTCCGGTAATTTTATGCACCTATTAGCCATATTTCACACATCATAGATTTCACCGTACATTTGCTTTTAAAACAATGATAGAGAAACGTTTTCGATCCGCGTTCTCCGGCTATCTAAGCTCACCGCCAGGCGGAACAGTCCTAATATATGCGTACTGGAGCGCAAACATATACACGGACGATGTACGAGATGAACGATAACTCGCTGCAGCGATGTCGGGCAAAGATGGAAAGGGACATCGTTGCCAGGTGAACACTAACTACCGGTAGGGCAGGGAAACAATGTCTCTGGAATGATTGTATGGTACTGTTTGACTGACTTAATCCTCCTTAATTTCTGTGTTGTGCATGTTTGTAACCGACTTTTTTAAACCTACTTGACGCCGTTTTTTCTTTTGGGTGCTGGTCCTTTCTTCTCATCTCAAGTAACCAGCGCTACGTTTGTGCATACGAAAACTTAATAACTTTCAACAAAATTGACTGGCTTTTTCGAAAAAGACTAACACACTGAACCTTGAAAATGAAGTATTCATCAGTTCAAAATTTATACAACTTTCATCTGAACCTCTCAAAAACAGAGCCCTTGAAGTTTGGCAGGTTACTTGATTAGCACCCTTAGTGATTTCTGTAGAATATTTGAGCCGTCTAACTACAAACACTGCCAAGTGCAAACCATACAGTTCTAAGGAAAACTCGGAAAACTGTTTTGCGTAATACTATTCACGAAATGAATTTACTTTAATATTTTCTTGATGTAGATACTACTTCTTAATACAAACGAGTATCACTCATCGTGTTACGACAAAGAGAGTATTAGCTCCGTAAAATAAGATAAATAAAATGCAGTTGGCGAGGTTTGAAAATAAATGTGAAAAATGGCGGGCTTTGCAGGCAAATCAAGTGTATTTAACCACAATTACGAGAATGCGAGGAAATGGCACGAAACCCTGTGAATCGAAACACACGGTCATGAGACCAAAATACGACTTTCGTATTGGTCACACGCACTTGGCGATTTTTGCAAACAAACAAATCTACAATTGGCGATATATTGAAAGTGAACCGAGTTTTTGATGCTCGATAGTAATGTAAATTTGAGAAATAACATTTTTGTATTTGGCGGGGTTTTCAGACCAATATGGTGATGTTAGGGCATACGAGGGATGTCTTTTAGGTATTGTATAAGCAAATAAAACAACACGGTAGGTAGTTTTAAATGACTTTATTGTTTTTCGAAGTATTCTCCACATAATACACATCTGCATGCGCTCGAGCCAATTTTCGAAGCACTTATTCCACTCGTTTCACTGGCAGATCCAAAACGGCATTTTTTAATGAGTCAACTGCTTCTTCTGGTGATTGGAACATTTGACCATGCAGTCTGTTTTTAATTTTCGAGAAAGTAAAGAAATCGTTAGGACTTAGATCTGGCCTATATGGAGGATGGTCCAATAATTCCACTTTTCTTCCGTTAAATACTGTCTTGTTTGTTGGGCTATGTGCGAGCTTGCATTGTCTTGGTGGAGGATGATTCTTCTTTCGGGGTTGATTTTTCGAAGCTCGGTGATGACTTTTGGCAAACAAATGGTGGTATACCAATCCGCAATAACAGTTCTTTGCTCATTAAGAGGAATTGTTACAATATGACCTGCTTTTGACACAAATGTCGTGACCATCTTTTTCGAAACACTTCGAGAACGGATGACTTTTGTTGGCTTTCTTCACTTTGAAACACCCAAACAGCCGACTGTCGTTTATTTTCTGGTTCATAACAGTAAATCCACGATTCATCACCATTAAAAATGCTGTACACATTTTTTGAGTTTCCGGAATTGGAACGGTCAAGCGTTTTTGATACCAATTAACCATGGCTGCTTTCTAATCTTCAGTCAACAGGTCAGGTATCCAACGAGAAACTAATTTTCTTAGTCCTAATTCTTCATGTAAAATTTTTTGAACTGAGGTCTTTGAGATCTTCAAGGACGCCTCAATCTCGCAATATGTCACATGTCTATCTTCAATGATGAGTTTTCCTGGGTGACTGCCGTTTTGGTCCACCCACCCTGGGATCGTCGCTAAGACGCACCCGTCCACGTTTGAATTCTCCATACCAACGGGAAATTGTCGACTGATGTGGCGCTTCGTTGCCGAAAACAGACAGTAACACAGCAAGGTATTCTTGTTGCGATAGGTGTCTCTGAAAGTTGTAATAAATTATGGCGCGAAAATGTTCTCTGTTGAGTTCCATTTTTCTAATGACTTGGTGACACTTAAAATTCAATACTGCACGTATTGTTGTGAAACTTTGAATTTAAGTTTACTAAAGAGTGAGGTTAAGATTCAGTACTGACGTTCAATCCGCGCGGCCTAATATGTTACACTCGTACCGAAAAGGATACGGTGAATGAGCTAGCCCGAAAACGTGAGGCTAAACGTCTTATAGGTCCAGAGCCCTTTTGTGGCGTGAGGAGAACATGCATCAAGGAACCCATAAAAGATGATTGAACCAAGAAAAGGTCCTTGGAATAGTGGAACGGAAAATTAAGTCAAAGAAATAATTTGCCAAAGAGCAAAACTTGCATTCACTAAGGACCTGCTTGGATTTATTAGGAGGACCCAAAGTGGATGTCGCTGACATGAAACTGTTTCTATGGAGAACATGAGAAAACCCCAGTGGGTATCTTGTATCACTGGCCTGAGAAGACTAAGGTTTCAGATATTAGGAATCTAAACTGTCTAAACCGTCTGACCACTGGCATATTCACCCTAGACGAAGAAACACGAACCCACATGCCTTATTTAGTATGCTTTACTAGTAAATATTATGAATCCGCGAGATGTGCACTTTATATGACGATATGCCGTAAACACTCGCAAAAATACCAAAATGGCTCCGAATTTCGTTACTCTTTAATTATAGCCTTTTGCCTAGTAAAATACTTTTTGCAATGTCGCGTTCGCTTTCATCTATTGTGAATGATCACAAAGACTACAGCAGCATTCAAACAAGCATTGTTTTCTTCTTTATTATAGTATCAACACCACTGACATTCTCACTCAATTCCATTTTAACCACATAGTCAGTGCTACTTCAAGTAATACGAGATAGCCTGTCTCATTTTTGTTCACTTTAATGGTTTTATGAATACATGAGAGGTGTGGATTGTACTATTTTATGCGACGCAATAAAGTTTTATTGTCTTTTAATATACACTATCGGTAATGTTAAATGTCCCTCACCGCAGATGATTATCATCATTGCTCATAAATCATGATATTTTTTCTTGTTAACATAGGATGAGGTAGAAAAGAAATGTTTCTATGAATTTCAAATATAAACCAATAAACTTAACTGTTTATAAACTGATATCATCACCCACGGACCTGACCGGAGTAGCGGTCATTAATATCTAATGCCCAGCCTTTGAATGGTAATGTGGCTACATTTTAAGGTCGTTTTGTCAGTGTATGGTCGGATGCCTTGGAATGTGACAGATTGACCATTTAGGTGAACACAGTTCCAAATGTGTTTCACGCTCCAACAAAGAATGACCTGTGATTTTTTTGTCTTACACAACCAGTAGGTGCGATCGCGAGAATTTCGGTTGATAAAATTTTTTTTAGAAACCATATCTTACAAGGTGGAGGTGGTATCGTTATTTTTCAATTTCTGTGATACTTGATATCGTTACTATCTTGGTGGTTAAACAGTCTGACCTGATTACCACATTCGACTAACGATAAGGTTATGAGCAAAATACCGTGATGAATCGAGTGGAGCAGACAAACACAATCTATGGGAATTTCAAATTAAGATCGCATCGCCGTGCGGCGGACATCTTGTACATTGATACATTAACCTTATTTTTTAGCTTCGATTTGAAAAGGTGTTTGGAAGTGATTTATGCTTAATTGTACCGGTTCTGAGTACCTTTATTTGTTTACTGTGTTGTAAATACTTTGATTTCATTTTGGCCAACAATTTTGTTGTCATTTTAATAGGTGCAAACTTGGTATAGGTATTAAAATATCTGTTATACACATAGTTAGGGCCGTATCGTCAGTCGTTCTTAAAATTGTAGGATGCCTTTATGGCCTCCTTGATCTTCATAGTTTTCTATTGTTCCGTGCTAGCGCTTTTTTTTCAGGTTATGTTCCAAATAACTACATTAAATTGTTAATGCTTTTGATTTATATCAACTGTTATATCAGCCTGAAATTTCCTACAATTCAAAAGGAAAACAGAGCCTCCAAATAGGAGAGCACTGACACGGAACAGTAGAAGTCTAGAAATAACACAGCCTTTCTGAAGGAGAGAAAATACTGTGAAATCAAAGAGGCCATAAAAGCGTCCTACAATTGTTGGAACGACTGACGATACCTCCCGTAGACTTGTTTAATTTTAGAGGATTTTTAGGTGCAAGTGGCTTCATAAACATAAGTTTAGTAGAGTATATTGGATATACTTATTGGAGGCAATACAAATTCACGATCTGATATGGAAGGAGAAGAATATGATGTATCGTAATAAATAGTTTTGTAAAACCTTACCAGTTTATTCGAATAAAACAAATAGTGTTTAAATAATGTTTTATTTCAATCCGATAAAGAATTTTACAGAAGACACACGCAATCCGCCATAATGGCATCCTCAAATAAAATAGATATTTCCTCAGCAGGAGGGAAGTAGATGCAAGGCTCTAAAATTTTACTCAAAACAAAAAGAATGTCAAACATAATTGACTAGAAACATTGAAAAACACACCTAAAGTGACATAACTGAGATCTAATTTTAATTTTGCCATTGTGAGAATTATTCTGTCATGCATGCTAAGCCTATGAGATCTTATATCCTGAAGGAATTCTTACACCTTTGCCACTACACATTCAAATATTTCAAAATTGTTAATTCCTGTGAAACTTCTTAAAGCACTGTCTGTCATTAATAGCTCACTCAGTGTTAACTTGAACTTCTGAATCATTAACTAAAAGTTGCTTATTCTGAAGAACACCATCAATTCCGCTGTTACTCATGTCTTGGTCTAGGTTAAATAATTTATTGTAGTAAACTTTGAGCAGTTTGAACCTCCTCTGCAGAATACTGCAACTCTTTATGCAACTCAACCTCACATGGGCCTTCTTGGGATGCTTCCGTTTCCAGTTTTCTCTTTTTATATAGTATGTCTCTGAACCAATTTTCACGTAGAGAATCGGAAATGAGTAACGTTTGCAAAAATTTATAATTTCCAAGCGATAGTTAAACGTTTAAATCAATTAGCTTCAAGATGTTACATTCTCTTCCTAGCCTGTGCTGCACTTTATGTATAGTTAAGTGAACTATAACTATTTTCTGTTGAAAAATAGGTCACTTTATAAAAAATCGTTCAGTATATCATCTAAAACGATACTCAAAGCTGTCAGCTGACAGTTTCGCGTTCACTTCAGTTTTTGTTAAATCTTAGAGCCACTCTTTGAAATCAATCCTTACTAAACCGGATATTTATTAAAACGGTGGAATGGCAACGGAAGTCGAACGTTCAGGAGATGCTCCCGACGATCTAGAATCGCTCGACGATGAAGAAACTAGAAAAACAGATGAAGACAATGATCTATTTAGCAATCAAATTCGGGTTGCTCTTCTGCCACCTCCAGTCAAAAGACGAATTAAAGCTTTGAAAAAGTTGCAGCTGGCAACCACTCAGATTGAGGCGGAGTTCTTCAAAGGGTCCACGCTCTTGAGTGCAAGTATCATCAGATGTATGTGCCGTTGTATGAAAAACGTACTGCTATCGTGAATGGTGGCCATGAACCTACTGACGAAGAAGCGCAGTGGCCTTCTGACCTCGAAGATGACTTGCCCGAAAATGTCAAAGAGAAGATTGCAGCTGAGAGGGGCAAGCAGAAGGAGACATCAGGTATTTGGACAATTTTATTGTTACAATTTTCAGCCACCATAATTACTATATACTTCTGTGCCAAGGAAAGAAGAAACAAAAGGAACATCTTATATAAGTCGTTAATAGCTCAACATTGTTCGTCCTATTTTGTCCAGCAGAATTCAGTCTCAATCATAACGCTGTGTCTCAATTTTCATGGAGTTTTGAAAAACGCATTTTGACTAGCTTCATAATATCGACAAAATAATTCGTAATGCATGGGACCCACGATATAATATCATTAGTTAACGTGAAGATAGCCTACCTACCTATAACTATATTCGCTCGCTATGAGAATTTGTCAGAGTTTATGGTTGCCCTCTTAGAAACAATTAGAAATCTACTTTGAAACGGTTAATGTCTTATAGATGACGATGTAGCATACATATTTGCCTCAGCGTCAAACTAGATTTCTGATTATTACGGAGAGCAGAATCAGCTGTGACAAGTTCTTGTAGATGCACTGCGGTAATCTCACTTCAAATCTGGCCCTAATTTTTGTTCATAGCATTATTGCATTTTGACCTTCTGATAACTAATGATTCATGACATACCAATTATTCCTTCTGCGCCATTTCAAAAACTATATTATTTAGTTTCCAGAAGACGCCAAAGGCATACAGAGTTTTGGCTAAACGTGTTTCAAGAACGTCGTCTTATTAGCTGACATGATGCAACCGTACGATGTGCCCATTCTAAAGCACCTAACTGACATCAAGACTATATGCAGGGAGGAGCCTAATATGGGTTTCACTCTGAAGTTTCATTTTTCGTCCAATGAGTCTTCACAAAACGAAGTATTGATAAAGATATATGATGAAGTGTGCTCCTGAAGAGGATGACCCGTTTTAATTTTGAAGGACCGGAGATCTACAAATGCACGGGGGTCGAATATCAATTGGAATCCTGGGAAAGATGTCACTACTAAAACGGTATAACTACTAAATCGCATATATATTTATACATTATTTATCAATCTGATTGTTTTTAAATGACTTTTTCCACCATAGCCTGCAAACTTGTATATTCGCGTGTGTTGTTATTTTCCGTAAAACCGCCATCACTCGAGTTAGTTACGGATTTCCGGCAATCTGCCTCTCGGTCATCAACAGAAATAAAACTACCTATTGAAATTTTGAGAAACAAGTTTCAGGTGATTTTCCTATATATGGTGGATTGAACATTGTGTTGATTCATATTGTTTCTTCGGTGTAGGTCAAAAAGAGACAAAAGCACAAGAGCCGTGGAACGGTACGTACTGTAACGAAGACAGTGCAAATGACTCTTTCTTCAATTTTTTCATCCTCCTTCTATTCCTGAGAACTCAAAAGACGAAGATGTCGACGAAGATATACGCAATCTGCTTACAACCGATTTTGAGATTGGGCACTATATCCGAGAAAGAATAGTGCCTAGAGCAATCCTGTTTTTCACAGGTAATCTTTTATGCTGTTGTGATAGGATGTGCTGTGGAACTTGAGTGAGCATTTCTGCAGAAGAGTTTTCAAAACTAGCATTTTCAAGTTTTCTTGCATGAGTTAGGTAGTACAAAAACAAAGTATTAAGTCTAAAAGTAAAATTAGTATTAATAAAAAAGAGTACAAAATAGCGAAAGGCATTGTTAAGTTATTATGTATCTAATTATTTCTTTAATTACTTCAAAGCTACGAACTGTCTTCCAAGACTTTTAAGTCCTACCATCTGCAATCTGCTGGTGTAGTCTGTCTTCATATGCCAAGTTTGTACAATACAAATTTGACAGCCGTAATATGGACTCCAGACTACTATTATATTCTAAAAGGCTACTTACTAAACAATAATCATACAATGACTTAATGGCTATAGTATCACAAAAATTCGAACAATTACGACGGATCAAACCTAACATTCTAGGAGCGTTCAATAAAATACTAGCGATGTTTTTATTAAAGCTAAGATCATAGCTGAAGTTATTAAAATCATTAACTTCCTTTAAGGGAACATTACTAATTGAAGTAATAAACATATAGGGATGTCTTACCTCACATTTATATATATATTTATCTCCAAACAATTGTCATTACATATTATAAGTCATTATGAACAGTAGAACTCAATGCAGTCTACACGTCTACAGCATAATGCGACTTCAAGCCCTCAGCATACAATGGACATTCACATTTCTTAAAAGTAGTGGCCACATTATTAATAAAAAGTAAAAAAAATGGACCTAATTTGAATGAAAAAAGTTGTAAAAGATAACGTCGGTCTACTTGAATTGAAAGAGCTCTCGTTCCAAGGCAAAAAAAATAGCAGGAGAAATGAAAGAGCCAATCAGTGAAAAAGTGGCACGCGCAGAGAATCTGCGCAACGATTTAAATTTTAAGGGCAATGTTTGTTATTATGCTTAGTTTTATTCAATTTATTAGGTGAAGGATGTGAAGAGGATGAAGACTTCGAAGAAGAAGAATACGATGAAGATGACGATGAAGATGAAGGATGTGATTCTGATGTCAAGGAAGACAGTCAAACGAAGAAGCCTGACTGCTGTAATCATTAATGCCTTGATTGAAAGCATATGTACATGGTTTGTATAGATTTTTGGGAATTTGTAATCCATTTACATAATCCAAATAACTGTGTAACTTGAAAATAAAAGATATACATAGTAAGCCTCAAGGTTATTGAATCTAGTATCAGGTAAACTGCACGAATTATCAAACAGTTTAAATCGTCAAGCATAGTGACGCATAGCTCATTCTAACATTCAAATACTACATATCGCCAGAAACAGGTGAATTTTGTGCTTTGTACTGCTTTGTAGTTCCTAGCGACTCTTTCGTGTGAATGAAGGTAATTTAAAAAATTTCGATGTACGTTCAGAATGAACATATTGATATAGCTGTTATGTCAACATTTCGACTGAGAAAAGAAATCTTAATAACTACTTCATATAATTAGTTCTGAGATGTTACCTACTTTCGACACATTTACTATTGACAGTAGTAAAAAATTAACACAACGTCTGAATGAAGCTTAGTGGTGAAAGACTATGGGCCTATAATATGTCACATATATTTGTCATAAAAGTATGTTAAGTCGCTTCGTCTCCTTGTTTTGCCTTTGACGTTTTATGCTGCCAGTTTTTCTCCATGAATTGTGCAAAATGAGCATTTACGTTGAATTTCTCTATTTCCATATGATCTATAGAATACGTCAAGTTCTTAACTAAATAAATATCAGATCTCCATGCTAACCACTTAGCAAACTCAAATATAAGAACCGACAAAGTAAAGCTTCGGGTCTGTGAATTGAAATCGGCTCTCTATAATGTGTAAATTTATAGGTGCTAGGGTATACATATATTCATAGGTAATCAATTATTCAAATTGAGTCAGGCACTGATTCACTCTGATATTTTAATGGCCATGTCGGCAATTGATAGGGATCAGGGTCGGAATGGTGTAGTGGTTCGTTTTAAAATTCTCATTTGGGTATTTTTAGTTGGGATTAAATCAACATTTCACATGCATGGGTGCAAACAATACATGCTTTCAAGGCATTCAGCAATATGACCATGTACAAAGAAATAAAGCTGAAAGGGAGCTTTTCGCACGTGATGCAATGTCATGAGATTGATTTTCAGCGGGATAATTTTCTACCTTGTGTCTGTCCTTTTAGATATACACTTCAATTTTACATGGTATTTATCAGTGTGTAATTTCCAATTGATACTGATTAGATGGGGGTTTAGAAGGTAATGGCAAGATTTCTAAAGCAAAGTACATCCAAAAATGAATAAAAATTTATATTAAATAACTTCATGAAATCTTATTTTTCTATTAAAATATAACACAGCATGTTGTGAATTTCTACGCAACTGAATGAAACAAGTGAGGATAGAGTAGAGGAAAGGAATCAAATTTGAGACAAGTGCCTAATATGAGACATGATGGTATCTTTGTATCTTTGGAGCGTCATCTTTTAGTAATACCT